AGAGAGAGAGAGAGAGAGAGAGAGAGAGAGAGAGAGAGAGAGAGAGAGAGAGAGAGAGAGAGAGAGAGAGAGGGGCAACAAAAGAACAATGCCTATAATCAAGAAAGAACAACACCAGCATACGAAGAAAAAAGTTCAATATGAAGATTTTTCATTCCATTCAAGTCAGCAACTGGGCACACTATGATGAAGGGCAGCGCAGATCATAGCAAAGCAGGGTAGAGCAAATCATAGCAAAGCAGAAGAGAGTACTAGTGTAGAGCAGGGTAGAGAAGAGAAGAGAAGGGCAGAGCAAAGCAGGGAAGTGTGAAGTACAGAAGCGTAGCCCCCCTCCCAGCCACCTCCGCCCCTGCTCAGTTAATCCCGTGTGGCCCACGGTAATCAATGCTGGCAGGGAGTTATCCCACAACTACAAAATGCTCAGAGGGACGTTGGACCCGCGGGTTCCAGCAGGTGCTGCTCCCCACCAATAGATGGAGCCTCTCCGGGTGTGCTAGTGGCGTCTGCTCTTATCAGCACTCCTAGCGGCAACCCGGACTGGTTAAAAATAATAATAATAATAGAAAAAGAGTAATAATAGTATGGAAGAGTAGGGAAACGTAGAGTGGAGGAGAGTAGAGCAGAGTCGAGTGGAGTACAACGGAGTGGAGTGGAGTAGAGAGGAATGGAGTGGAGTAGAGTGGAGTAGAGTGGAGTAGAGCGGAATAGAGTTTAGTGGAGTGGAGTGGAGTGGAGTGGAGTGGAGTGGAGTGGAGTGGAAGAGAGTGTAGGCGAGTGGAGGGGAGACGATTATAGTAGAGTTGAGCAGAATGGAGTAGAGTAAGGCAAAGTGGAGTAGAGCAGAGCAGAGTGAAGGAGTGTAATGCAGAGCAGAGCAAATCAGAGGAGAGCAGAGCAGAGTAGCGTAGAGCATAGCATTGCAGAGAAGAGCAGAGCAGAGTAGAGCACGGCAGGGAAGCGGAGACCAAGGAAGCTACGGTAGAGAAGAGTAGGGAAGAGAAGAGCAGGGAAGCGTAGAGTAGAGAAAAGAAGGGAAACGTAGAGTACAAAAGAGTAGGGAAGAGAAGTGTAAGGAAGAGAAGCCTAGGGAAGAGAAGAGTAGAGAAAAGTAGAGTAGAGAAGACTCAGAGGAGTAGGAAAGCGTACAGTGGAGGAGTAAAGTAGAGTCGAGTGGAGTCGAGTGGAGTAGTTTGGAGTGGAGTGGAGTGGAGGGGAGTGGAGTAGAGTCGAGTGGAGTGGAGTGGAGTGGAGTGGAGTGGAGTGGAGTGGAGTGGAGTGGAGTGGAGTGCAGTGCAGTGGAGCGGAGCGGAGCGGAGTGGAGTGGAGTGTAGTGGAGTGGAGTAGAGTGGAGTCTACTGTAGTGAAGTAGGGAAAAGAAGAGTATTGTTGGCAGACACTCACCTGCTTTGCATTTCGTAGTTCAGGCAGCAGAGCACCTGTCTTGTAGCAAATCAACAAGCACATTCAACTAGCAGACATGCCGAGTTGCAAACAGTGCACAAGACTAAAGCAACAGAGAAAAAAAAAAAAAAAAAACTTAAAAAAAGTCCGATTAATTTCTTGCAGTACATGTCAAATGCAAATCCGCAGTACATGTCTTGTGTCCGGGCCTCGAGGCCCTGTCCGGTGAGGTGAAACGACACCAGAAATTCACCCCGTTATTTTTCGGGGGCGGCCAGGACCCGAAAAGCGCCCTGGGCCACCCCCTTTTCCTTTTTTTTTTGCCCTGGGGGCCTCCCTCAGGACATCACGGACTGGACGTCGGGCCCAGACACGTCGTTCCAGACTGTCTAGAACCCGGTCCGGACGTCCAGGCGGTTACCATGCTGTTTTCACTTTTTCTTTTAGGATTTGGTTTTTTAGGAGTAATCTAACCACTCCATGTTCCTAAATAAATGGATTTTTTTTTTTTTTTTTTTTTTTTTTTAGGGGTGTCTAACGAGACCCTCAAGGGGACAAAATAGCCCCGATTTCAATAAAAAAAAACTGAGAATCGAGCAAAATAAACAGTACACAAATTAAAAAAATCTGGAGACTGGGTTTCTTACCAAGGGGCCTAGCTCAGTTGGTACACCCAATGAATTGTTTAAATACAGACCCACGTTCAAATCCAGCTGTGATCAGATGAACAGAATAGTTATGAATTACCCTGGCCCGGTCATGATATCTCAAGGCCGCCGCCAAAAAACAAATACTTCTTGCCACTGCTAATATCCGCTCCTGACCCGCAACAGATCTTGCCGTGAACACACACAAAAAAAAAAGAAAAAAAAAAAAGAAACCTGGGTGTGAAGTTGTAAACTCAGTTCCTGGTCTGCATCCACTCTTTAGCGCTCTGGAGTCTGACCAGATTCTCTGTATCTAAATCCCAGTTTGCAGTAAATTCCTGCCACAATCTCTGGCTCAAACCTGGGATACCAGCCGGCGGCCAACTTGGGCTGCTCGTTTGGCCTAGCCAGGCAAAGTCCAGAACAACGCACACCGCCTAGAAAAAAAAAAGAAAAAAAAAGAAAATGCTATGCGCTGTATGCAGGATGAAAAAGGAAACAAGTTCCCCTCCCCCTCCCCCCCCCCTCCCCCCCTCCTCTAAATCACCCAGCTTAACTTTGTATATGACAAAAAGCCAGGAATCGGGCCTGGCGCCCCTCACAAGAACTGGTGGTCACGGACCGGAGCTGTGCCTAGTTTTAATTTCCCCTCTGAAGCTTAAGCTAAGCTGGCTGATGCTGTCAGTACTTCATCCGGGTAGGATTGTGAGGTCCCCGGCCTCGTTGGAACAATTTTAATAATAAGAGCTTGGTTTTTGTAAAAAAAAAAAAAAAAAAAGAACTGGTGGTTTGATTAAACGGCGAGACATCACCAGTCGATCCCTAAAACCGAACCACTGCTCGCCACGAACCCCAACATGAAGAAGAAGCATTAAAAAAAAAAAAAAAAAACACAGAAGAAGCATGAAGAAGAAGAAAGTAAAGACCAAGTAACTACTTGCAACCAAAAGGACACAAATACTAAACAAAATTTATGACACATGGCTGGACCCACATAATAGACTGTGTACTCTAGATGCACAACATAGGCTGCAGTGGCAGCCTTGGCTTACGTCTGAGGACAGGTGGGAATTCCTGCCTTCCGAAGACTTCCAAATACAAGTGCATCCGACCAACTTCGATATGATTCTTGGGGAGCCAAAGGAACTGTCCCTGGCCAACCTCGACGCCATTCCCCGGGGCCCCCATGACCCCTCCGTCGACAACCCCAACCCACCACCCGCCATTGCTCTCCCACATCCTCCTCCCTCCACCCTTTCCTTCCCCTTTACCCAGCAGCCGGCCAGGGACAGCCTCCCGCTCATCAATAAACTGGGGGCGAATAGCCCTCACAGGGCCACGGCCGGATTCGGACTCATGATAGGACGGAGATTTAGCGGGAGGGGGAGTAGACAGGCAAGAACGACAATCGAGATAATCCGCGAGGATAGTCCGGAACATCCAGAGTTAGATGACCAAAAGGCCTCACAGGCGACCATGCGCGCGCGTGTGTGTGTGTGTGTGTGTGTGTGTGTGTGTGTGTGTGTGTGTGTTGTCATTTTCGCTGCACACAATTCCACAAAGAAAAGCATGACTCTGTATGTGTATTGTGTGTGTGTGTGTATGAGTGTGTTTTAAATTTCCTCCACAGCAGCCCCAATTCCATCCAGATGAGTAGATTCGGAATCAAAGCAGTTTTTGTCCTACTGCGAAAAAAAAAAAAAAAAAAAGGAGCACTTGAGTTGATCCAGTCTAGCGTTTAAGCAAATTTTACAATTACACTGTTTTTTGGTTATCCTTGGTTTACCCCTTCCATTTGTTCTTACGGCTCCCCGTTTTTACTGTGCCTCGCATAGTTAAAAAGGCTTAAAAAAAAAAAAAAAAAAAAAAAAAAAAAAAAAAAAAAAGACCGCCCACGTCGATTGTGGTTGAGTGGCAGCTTCCCACATCCCCGTGTGCCTTCACAGCCCGCTTGCACATTCCCAAAGGAGGAGCGTGTGTGTGCGAGATGGACAGGAGCGTGTGTGTGCGAGATAGACAGGAGCGGTGGCGAGACGAGGGAGGTTGAGAAGAGGAAGCGGAAGAAGAGAGAAGGTGAGGATACGTAGGGGGGGGGAAGGGAGGGTTTGGAGAGGGAGGAGAGGTGGAGAGGGAAGGGCTGGAGAGGGAAGAGGGGTTGGAGAGGGAGGGGGAGCAGAGAGAGCTGGGGGAAGTGGATTGTTCTTGCTCAACCAATTGTCAAACATTAACAATTCAAAATCTGGAGGCAAAAAAAAAACTTTCATTGAAAGCTTTAGGTTCAACACTGTTAAAAGTTGGAACATAACGAGTGGATTTTTTTTTATTTTTTTATTTTTATTTTTTTTAAACCAGCGACCTCTACGACTAGAGGGAGTGATAAGTGGATTCGTAAATTCTCTTTTGTTTGTTTTTTCAACTTTTTTGAGTCAATGATGTTTTAACTTTTAAGTTTTAACCATTCGGTGAAAACAAGTTTACCTGTCTGCTGGACCGGTACACTTTATAAATCGAAAAATAGCTGCAACTCCAAAACTAGGCGCAAAAAAACAACCAGATTGACTGACCTAGGGGATAAATTAAAGGTATTTACCGCGTAATACCGCCCAGGGTGCACTTCTTTCGATTTCACCACCTCCACGCCATCATCCGTCTGCCTAGGGGCTTTTGCAATCAGCTAATGAAAGCATGCTTTCGCACAGACCATGCAGATCTGGAGAAACGGTCCCCTAGCTCTACTCCCCTCCCGAACCACTCTAAAGCTCACATAATCTGCATGCATTCATGACTTTTTTTTTTTTTTTTTGACTTTTTTTTTGTTTAATTTCTCTCTCTGCAAACTGACAGAAGTGCTCACCAATACCGCCTCCTCGATTGGAAGCCACTCTTTTCGTTTCCATCGGTTTATAACTTTATAAGGCGTTGATATTCCTCTCTTTGCCAGGGCAGCAATCCGCACTTGAATGCCCGTAAGTCGCCGACAGACTGCAGCCACAACTCTCTCGGTCCTTAATAAGTTTCTTACCTGACCGTCAACCGTCAAATGGAAAAGCCGATTCCAACCCAGAAAATCCAGGAGAGGGGAGGGAAGGGAGACATGTGGCCATTAAGTTGGCGCCCATGGGGACATCATCCTCGTGTACACGCACCCGTGCGAGATCGGGGTGGATGGACGCCCTGGGTGTATGCACGACCACTTGAGCTGGCAGATCCATCAGTGTGCACTTACAGATGCCGGATCAATCTGGTAGTCAATCAATCAGCATGACTATATGCCCCTACACTTCCAGAGAAGAGTGGCAGACCGACCCACGGAAGAAAGAGAGGAGCAGTAGAACGACCCATGGACAAAAGCATATTCAGGTACCTAAGAGTTTTCTGCTTGTCCCATTTGGCCAAATCTGTCCCCATTGCATTTCCACAACTGCCCAAAACTGCCCAGTACATACCCACAAGTGCCCGAGAGCATCCGGTTTACCACACAAGTGACCAAAAATGTCCATCACATTTTCACACATGCCCCCCAAATGTCCCCTACACCTCAGCAACTGGCCTGCCAGCCTCTCAGATCTCGAGGACGTCGAGGTGTCGGCTTATAGGGTGGTCCAACTGTACTTCGGCGGATGAACTGCCAAAATGTGACCGAAGGCGGTGAGATATAGAATCTCTCCGGCGCAAGAACCCCTGATCCTCATCATCTTCCCGCCTTCCAACGTTCACCAGACACTTCAAATGTCCACCTGGTACTTTCTCCGATGTCCGCCTTTCACTTTTCGCAACATCCACCTATCACATTTGTGTCCGATGTCCACCTGGCGTAGTTCTTCCACCTCACACCACACTTCTCGCACAAGTTCCCACATGCACATCAAATCCCGCTGCAGGTACTTTACACTGTCCCTCCGATTACCGCGGGCACTTTCCACAGCTCATCATGTGGCGGCCCCCCGCATCCCTCCTACTGACGAAATCTTGATTTGTTCATCTTGATGGAGAAGTTAGTGTGCACATCTTGATGCACCTCCTGTTTTCAGCCGATGTTGTCAGAATTAATAAACTCACGATCTGTTCATCAACAGTCACACGTGTGTGACATTCAGCCACAAGCACTGGGTGATGGGGCCCCTGGACCGCTACCTCTACTGCTGCCCAAGGGTCATCTGACCCTGTCGTTTCCTCTACTGTTTCTGTGGCTGACCCTGCAAGTGAGCACAATGGCTGCAGATGCTGCTATTGCTGACGTTTGTGATCGTCCTCCTCCTCCACCTCCTCCTCCTCCTCCTCCTCTTCCTTCTCTTCCTCCTCCATCTCCTCCTCCTCCTCCTGCTGCTGCTGCTGCTGCTGCTGCTATTGCTTCTCTTAGCCCTTCCACTACTGTAGCTGATACTTTCTTGCTCCTGCTGCTGCCCCCAGTGCTGCATGAGGGCAGAACTGTTGTTTGTGAGCATCCTCCTTCTCCTCCTCCTCCTCCTTCTCCTCCTTCTCCTCTTCCTCCTCCGGCTCCTCCTCCTCCTGCTGCTGCTGCTGCTGCTGCTGCTATTGCTGCTCTTACCCCTTCCACTATTGCAGCTGATACTTTCTTGCTCCTGCTGCTGCTCCCAGTGCTGCACGACAGCAGAACTGCTGTGCCGTCAGTGGTGTAGATGGTGCTTTCTAACTGCTTGCTTGGCCTGCGGCTGCATATGCCGAATCGACACATATCTCGATCCTGAGAATGCACGTGCTCAATCCCGTAGTGGAGGTGTTCCCGCTACGGCCAACTGCTCTTCTCCTGCTGTTGATCCCTCATTCAACAGCACCTGCCAGAGATTGTTGACGTGCCTTTAATTTCTTGGGCCTGCTCTTTCTCTGGCTTCTACTACTGAGGCATCGGATGCTCTCGGCTTCCTGCTGCGGACTGTGCATGCATGTGGATCTTCCCTTGTAGCGACACCTGTGGCACATGCTACAGGTGATGATACTCCTACCTCTACTTCTAGTGCTAATGCTGCTGTCGCTGCTGCTGCAGCTGCCTGCGCCCATGTGGACCTTCATACTGCACGTAGGCACACCTACACTCGCTGCACGTTACACAGCTGCTGATCCTCCACGCTCCTCCTGCTCGTGTCCACGACACTCATGATCATCATGACGACGATGGCGGTACCTGTTGCGAGGGACACTCCAGCCTTTTAGTGAAAATGATGTAAAAAAAAAAGAGAATGATGACAAAAAATGGCGGTGATTCGACCTGCACTGGCACTTTCTGATGTCCACCTAGCTTCTGCTTCTCTGCAGCTACAGGTTCCGCGCCCACAAAGATTTTTCTCTTGCTCGCGCTGTATATGCGACATGCACCGCTGCCGCTCCTGCTTCATGTAACGCTGCTACTGCTTCTGGTCCCGGCTTCTGCTAGTGACTGTACCTGGTCCAATTGTCACCACTGGAGACTGCACCTGGTCCAATTATCACCACTGGAGACTGTACCTTATCCCCCTGTCCGTGCCGCTAGTGAGTGTACCTGGTCCGGTTGGTGGTGCTGCCGCAGCTGCTGCTTCTGAGCGCAGTGGAGCTGGAGATCGTACGGATCATGCAGCGTTACATCATCTGGAGCTGTGCAGGCAGAGGTGACTCAGCAGCACAATCCCGATTCTTACTTATATCATGGGGGAGGTAGCAAGCCCTTGGCAGTTGAAGATGCTCCGGAAGTCAATAGAATAGCGAGAGCAGCCAACCCTCTGGCACTAGGGGTGGACGGTTGAGATACGCCATCGAGGCCCATGTAGACCCGGAAAACATAAGCCCCCGAAGCATCCGTCAACAGATGACGTACGAGCCGGCTTCGCATGGAGTTACTCCCATAGACGAACATTCCGAAGGCAAACATCACAAGATCGAAGGACGACAGAGATGACGACAGAAAACCCCTCCATAGCCTGCACCATTCGCACAAACGGCCGTTCGACAAATCATATCATTTTTATCAATTCCAAAATTTTAAACACCACAAGGTAAGACTGTTCACACACACACACACACACACACACACACACAC